CGTTGGTTCGCTGGCCTCTCCTCCGCACCTTTGACTTCCTGCTATCCCTCCCTCTCCTCCATTTCCTCCTCTCTCATACTGGTCGCGGCGTACTCATTATGTATCCACCTTCTCCTGACCTCCGCGTCTTTAGTTTCCTTTTCGTGTTACCGTCTTTCATTGCTCTCCCATCCGTGTCGGATCCCTTTTCCCCTCTCCTCCTTCGCCTCCTAAGTTCGACGCTCCACGAGCCCGATCTGGCCGGCCGAACACGGCCAGTCCGGAGTCGGCCAGCGGGCGGACTCGGCCATGTCAGCTTTTCAAGCCAAACTCGGCTGGCCGAGCTCGACTTCGAGCAGTGGCGAAGCGTCCTGGCTTCGGGCCCACCACAAGATCTTCGAAGAACCTTTTGTGGTTTGCATGAGATGTTCTCAGAATAGTTCTGGCTGGGACTGTCTTGCCTTAGCACCTCGGGGTTACCTCCTAAGAACAAGTGCTGTTGTTTTTCTACATTTTTGGGTTCTAAGAACATGCGCCCGACTCGGCTAGCGGCTTGTGCCCGACTCGGCAGGCGGCCTGCTTCGGTCGGCTGGCCGACTTCGGCCAGGCGGGGCTCGGCCGGGGCCCAGCTGCCGCGCGAGCGCCAGCGGGCGGGCTCGGCCAGGCCGACGTCACCGATTCTCGATCCCGCCAGCGGCGGTGAACTACGGATGCGTGTCGCCCTCATAGGGTGGATGTGGGGGGATGGGGGAGGAGGAGGCGGAGGCGGAGGGGGAGGAGGAGGAGGAGGAGGAGGATGGGGAGGAGGAGATGGTGGTGGATCGCGGGAAGACCAGGGAGTGCCTGCTCCTCGACTCCCTTGCGGTGGGCCGCGGGCGAGCGGCGTTGAGGCGAGATCGACTTGCTGTCAAACTTGAGCGCAGCATCAGGGGGAGGAGGGGGAGGAGGAGCAACAGGATGAGGATGAGGATGAGGGTGATGATGATGATGATGATGATGATGATGAGGATGATGATGATGATGATATTACCATAATGATGCTGCTGATGATGATGATGATGCTGATAATGCTGATTACCATAATGATGATGATGATAATGATGATGATGATGATGATGATGATGATGATGATGATGATGCTGATGCTGATGATGGTGATGATGATGCTAATGACGATGGCATGGTGATGAGGATGAGGGCATGATGCTGATTATGATAATGATGGCGTTGATGAAGATGATATTGATGATCATGATAATAACGATGACGATGATACGCATGATGATGATGATGATGATGATGAGGATGAATATGAACACGGTGATGATAATGCTGTTAAAAAGGATGATTATGATTGTGCTGATGCTGCTGCTGATGGTGCTGATGATGACGAGGATGCTGCAACGCATGATGATGCTGTGGATGACGATGATGATGATTATGCTGATGATTATGATGATGATGATGGTGGTGGTGATGATGCTGGTGGTGGTGGTGATGATGATACTGATAATACGAATGGAGGTTGTGGTGATCTTAATGATGATGTCGACGATGATGATGATGGTGATGATGATGATGGTGATTGCTGATGGTACTAATGATGGCATGGTAAAGGTAATGATGATGGCATGATGCTGATGATGATGCTGAAGCTGATGGTGCTGATGATGCTGATGATGCTTATGACGATGATGGTGATGCTGATGCTGTTGATGATGATGATGATGATGACAATGCTGATGATAAGGATGATGCGGATTATGATGATCATTGAGCTTATGCTGCTGATGATGATGATGATGAAGCTGTCGATGACGACGATGCTGCAAATAATGGTGATGATGTTGATGTGGATGGGGTTGAGGATGAGGATGATGCTGATGATGATGATGCTCATGATAATGCTGATTAGGATGATGATGCTGATGATGATTTCGATGATGATGATGATGATGGTGATGATGTTGATGATGATAATGACGATGACATGGCGATGAGGATGATGGCATGATGGTTATCATGCTGATGATGATGATTCTGATCATGATGTCGATGATGATGTCGATGATGCTGATGATGATGATGATGATGAATGTGATGCTGATTCTAATGATGATGGCATGGTCATGAGGATGATGGCATGATGCTGATGATGCTGATGATGATGCTGTTGATGAAGATGATACTGAGGATTCTGATAATGACGCTGACGATGATGCGGTTGATGCTGACGATGCAGATGAAGCCGTTGATGATGATGCTGATGATACTGATGATGAACAGGATGATGATTGTGCTGATGCTGCTGATGATGATGCTGATGATGACGACGATGATGCAACCAATGATGATGCTGTGGATGATGATCATAATGATGAAGATGATGCAGAGGCTGATGATGATTATGATGATGATGCTGCTGGTGTTGGTGGTGATGATGGTGGTGGTGGTGGTGCTGATACTGATAATGGTAATGGAGGTGGTGGTGATGATGATGGTGCCGATGATGAGGATGATGATGATGATGCTGGTGATACTGATGATGGCATGGTAGTGATGGTGATGGTATGCTGCTGATGAGGATGATTGTGCTGATGATGATTGAGGTGATGATGCTGATGATAATGATGGTATGCTGCTGATGATGATGAGTGTGTTGATGATGATTGAGGTGATGATGCTGATGATAATGATGGCAATGCTGATGATGATGCGGATGATGCTGATAATGATTCTGCTTATGCTGACGATGACGACGATGATGCTCATAATGGTGATGGTGTGGATGGGAATGAGGATGAGGATGCGGATGAGGCTGATGATTATGCTGCTGCTGCTGATGCCCATGACGATGATGCTGATGATGCTGCTGATGAGGATGTCGATGATGATGATGATGATGATGATGATGATGATGATGTTGATGATGATGATGATGATGATAATGACAATGGCTTGGTGATCAGGACGATGGCATGATGCGGATGATGCTGATGATGCGGATGATGATAATGATGATGTGGAAGAAGATGATAATGCTGATTCTGATATTGACGATGACGATGATGCGGATAATGATGATGATGCTGACGATGCAGATGAAGACGATGATGATGCTGATGATACGGATGATGATGATGCTGATGCTTGAGCTGATGCTGCTGATGATGATGTTGCTGATGATGACGACGATGATGCAACGAATGATGATGATGATGTGGATGAGGATCCAGATGATGATGATGCTGATGATGATGATTATGATAATGATTCTTTTCTGATGATGATGATTGTGGTGGTGGTGATGATGGTGGTGGTGGTGATGATGATACTGCGAATGATAACGGAGGTTGTTTTGATGATGCGACTGTCGATGATGAGGATGATGATGATGCTGATGATAATGATGATTGCATGGTAATGATGATGATGATGGCATGATGCTGGTGATGCTGATGATGCTGATGCTGATGCTGATGATGCTGATGCTGATGATGATGATGATTATGGTGAAGGTGATGCTGTTGCAGGTGATAATGGTGATCATGATGATGATGATGATGATGATGACACTGTTTAAGATGACGATGATGAGGCTGATGTGTGTTATGCTTATGCTGCTGATGATGATGATGATGCTGACGATGACGACGATGCATAATGGTGATGATGTGGATGGGGATGAGGATGAGGATGAGGCTGATGATTTTGATGATTATGATGATGATGATGATGCCCATGATGATGCTGTTGATGATGATGATGCTGATGATGATGATGATCATGGTGGTGGTTGTGATGATGATCATGGTGGTGGTAGTGATGATGATGAAACTGGTAGTAGTGGTGATTGTGGTGCTGCTGATGCGGATGCGGATGATGACGATGATGATTCTGCTGGTGACGCTGACGATGGCGATGACAGCGACAACGACGACGCCGATGATGACGATGACGATGGCGATGATGATGATGATGATGATGCTGCTGCTGATTATGATGATGATGATGATGATGATGATGATGATGATGATGTCGAATCTGATGATGATGATGATGATGATGATGATGATGAGGATGATGATGATGATTATGCTGCTGATGGTCATTATGATGACGATGATGATACACTAGTGATTGTGATGATGGTTTTGACGGCGATGCTTAAGATGATGATGATGATGCTGATGATGCTGATTATGATTTGTGGGTTTGATGATGCTGCAGATTATGACGGCGATGGCGATGCCGATGGTGGTGATGATGCTGGTGGTATTTGGTCTGATGATGATGATGATGATGCTGATGCTGATGCTGACCAAGGTGACGGGGATGGGAACGGCGACGGTAATGATTCTCGTAGTGATGAATAAGATAATGATGATGGGGATGCTGCTGTAGATGACCATGCATTTGCTGCTGCTGCTGATGGCGATGATGATGACGATACTGCGGCTGATGATGCTGATGATGATTATGCTGACGATGATCTGACGATGCTGATGATGATGAGGATCTAATGGTGATACTGACGATGATGATGATGATGATGACGATGACGATGATGATGATGATGATGACGATGACGATGATGATGATGATGATGATGATGATGATGATGATGACGATGACGATGATGATGATGATGATGATGATGATGATGATGATGATGATGATGATGATGCTGATGGTCTGAAGTTGACGATAATGACGATGATGATGCCACGCATGCTGCTGCTGATGATGATGCTGCTGCTGATGATAATACTGATGACTTTGCCGCTGCTGCTGATGCTGATGATGAGGTTGATGATACCAATCATGCTGCTGCCGGTGATGATGCTGAGTATGATGATGCTGATTGTTTTGCTGGTGCTGCTGATTAGGATGCCGCTGCTGCTGCTGATGATGATGATGAGGATGGAGGAGGAGGCGGAGGAGGAGGAGGAGGAGGAGGAGGAGGAGGAGGAGCTGGCCGTTGGGGGCGGAATGTCGACCCCTCTCGCTCGCGCCGTCAGGAGCGGTCCATCGTTGCTGACACCCTGGAGGGCGTGAAGCAGGAAAAGTGCGAGGTTGGGGGGAAAGGGTTGATCGGAGGGTAGAGCCAGCCACGCTGTCCCAGTGTCGGATGACCAAGCAGACAGCCTCACCGCGATGTCTGTCCGCGAGTGTCGTCGTTCTTCGTCTGACTTCCGTGGCGTTCAATTTTGGAGAGTGGGTAGAGGCGTTCCAAGCATGCCCGCTCCGATATCGCGGACCAGAAATGGCAGTTGTGACTGTTCAGTCCACAAACCAACTTGAGTGTCGGCAGTCGCTTACGCTGACGCGCAGCACAGCTAACCCTGACGCGCCGCGCAGCTAACCCTCGCACTACGTTGGAACAAGGGGTACGTACAACTGTAGATCCCCGAGGCTCTGCGCCGTTACAGCGGTCGCAATTCTGACGCCTTCGTGCACGCATGGGCGCATGTGGTGTTCGCCAGACCTTGCCAATGCGACTTCAGGATTTGTTTTGTTGTTGTTGTTGTCGTCGTCGTCGTCGTCGTCGTCGTCGTTGTTGTTGTTGTTGTTGTTGTTGTTGTCGTCGTCGTCGTCGTCGTCGTCGTCGTCGTCGTCGTCGTCGTCGTCGTCGTTGTTATTGCTGTTGTTAATACTGTTGTTGCTGTCGTCGTCGTCGTCGTCGTCGTCGTCGTCGTCGTCGTCGTCGTCGTTGTTGTTGTTGTTGTTGTTGTTGTTGTTGTTGTTGTTGTTGCGCTTCCTGTTGTTGTGTGCGAGAGAGTGTGTGCGTAAGTGCGAGAGAGAGTGTGTGTGATTGTATGAATGAGTAAGTGTATATGTGTGTGTTTGTGTGAGTGTGAGTGTGTGTGTGTGTGTGTGTGTGTGTGTTCGTGTGTGTCGGACGTAGACGTGCGCTTACCACTGCGTGCGCTCGACTTTCTGCGTCCCGTCGCCGCAGCCGCGGGGCCGCGGCGCCAAAGCGTGTGTGTGGTGGCATGGTAGCTTGGCGCTCTTGCCGATCCCACGCGTCACGAGCTGCCCCCCCTCCCCGCGCAGCACGTCGCTGGCCACATGCGAACCCTACCCCGCCACCCCACGATGAGTTCTAAGGGGGGAGGCGTGGTTCACTTCGCTCGGGAGGTCCCGAACGAAGTGAACCCATCCTCCCCCTATGGAATCGTGGGGCTGTGGGGTACACTGGAGGCCCGTGCCAAGAGGCGCCCTGCTTGCCTCCAGGGTGCTCCGGGCTTCTCGGGTCTCGATGGCTCTGCTGTGGGGAGCGTGACGCTCCCACACCCATAACCCCATGGACGTCCTGGGGTCTCAGGCTTGGGTTTCTCTTGGAAGGTCAATTGTGGACTGGGAGGAGGAGGAAGAGGAGGAGGAGGAGGAGGAGGAGGAGGAGCAGGAGGAGGAGGAGGAGGGAGGACGAGCCCAAGGGAGGAGGAGGGAGGTAGAAGGAGGAGGGGGAGGAAGAGGAGAGGAGGAGGAGGAGGGAGGAGAGGAGGAGGAGGAGCAGGAGGAGGAGGAGGAGAAGGAGGAGGAGGAGGAGGGAAAGGAGGAGGAGGGAAAGGAGGAGGAGGGAAAGGAGGAGGAGCCTCCGCTGCAGGGCTCGCGCGTGGCCTCCCGGCACTGGCGCCCGCGCCGCTCCGCGCGCGCGCCCCGCTCCCGCAGATGCCCGCGGCGCGCTCGCGCGCGCCCTGGCGCGGCGCCTCCCCCTTGCGGGGCTCGCCTTATGTCGGGCGTGTCCCCCTACAGGGGGATTTTCGACGAAAAATAAAAAATATTCAAAAATACACCATAAAGGCCAAAACATGATCCAAAAATAGTCCCCAGACTATTTTGGGGTTATTTTTTGATCATTTTTGGAGTATTTTTTATTTTTCGTCGAACATCCCCCTGTAGGGGGACAGGCCCGTCTTAAGGCTCGCCGCGACTCCCCTGGCTCGACGCGAGCCGCTCGCGATGGAGCCGGTCGGAGGAGGAAAGGGTGCCCATCGGTGGCCTGGACCCCACTGGCCGATTTGCCCCCTGGATGGGGCTGTAGACCGTTTCCTTCGGGTCTCGAAGGGTATGTCCCCAACTGGGGTGCTGAGATAGTGGTGGTCTGGATGGGGATGGGGATGGGGATAGGGGTCGGTTGAAACGATACCGATCCCAGAGTCATTGAAAGGAGGCAGTTTTGGGTTCCCAGATGCCAATCTGCTTCCTCTGCCTGCCCACTCCGAGGATCGCGCGGCTTCACCTCTTCGGTCCTCTTTGGGAGGCGGGCGGGCATCCAGTCTGTTTTCAACGCCTTCCTGCTTCATATGTTTCTGCCTGCTTCTTCCGTCCGATGGACACCGATGCCGCCGCCTTCGCATCGTTCTCCCCTTTGGGCTTTCTCGGAGGCCCCCGTCGCCCCTGCTGGATTCGCTTCGGAATTCTGGTCAGAACGCACCGGGGGGGGGGTCCAGGGAATAGCGGTCTCAGTACCTTTTGGCTGGCATCGAGTCAGTTCGCATCAAACTGATCGTAGATCGTGGGCAGCCCTGCCTCGCGTGCAGGGCGATGCCGCGCCTGCTTGCCACTGGAGGACGAGAGGGGAAGGCAAGGGACCTCCCGCTTCCCACGCAGATGTTGCTGCTCTGGATGCTGCTCGTGCCAGAGCCGCTGCCATCGCTTCCTCCTCCTCCTCCTCCTCCTCCTCCTCCTCCTCTTCCTCCTCCCTACAGGTAGCTGGGCTTTTTGTGCCCCTCTGCTTGCCTGGATCCTCTTGTGCCTCGGCACTGCACGTGCGACCGAGCCACTGCTCCTTCGGCCCTGCCCACTGATCTGGGCCCCATCGGCCTGCAGCCTGCTGTGCGAGGTGCACACCCGGGGCGACGATCGGAAGTCTGGGATCTCCTCGCGGACTTGCTGTAGCCGGAATCCTGTGTCCTCCCGCCCTACCGCCCTCCCCCTGGATCCTCCTCCTCCTCCTCCTCCTCCTCCTCCTCCTCCTCCCGCTCCTCCTCCTCCTCCTCCTCCCTCCTCCTCCTCCTCCTCCTCCTCCTCTCCTCCTCCTCCTCCTCCCCTCCTCCTCCTCCTCTCCTCCTCCTCCTCCTCCTCCTCCTCCTCCCTACCGCCCTCCACCCCGTTCCTCGGACAGACCGGGAGGGCCGGGGCGCAAGCGGAGGGAAGCCGCAGGCGCAGCCAGGCGCAGGCGGCGCGCGCCCGCGTGGTCCGGCGGCGGCGCCCGAGAGGCGGTGGGGTGCGCGCCGGCGGGCAGGACTCGAGGCAGCCAGCGGACGGCCCCTTTGGGTGACTCGGGCCGGACGAAAGGGGGGGGGTACGCAATCTGCTGCATGCAGCTGGTTTCGGCCCCGCCGAGGGGCCCATTCCTCGATACATGGGCGCCTCCGGCGCCGGGAGGCGCCGGGAAACTCAGCTATACGTGAGCTGATTCTCACCCCCCCCTTTGCTATCCCCCCTTTCGCCCGGCCTGACTTTGGGTGACCTGTTGGACAGGTGCTTCTGTGAGCAGTGCATCGCGAGGGCTGCGGCAGCGTGCAGACTTCTTTTTGGGGCCACTGCCGGTGGGGCCTGGTCGCGTTTCTGCGGCGAGGGGCCAGCTGCTTCGGCGAGCCGTCCGCGTGGGCCGTCCGCGTGGGCCTGGGAACGCCCGGGAGCGTCCGTGAGCCAGAGCGCAGGAGATCGTCCGTGGGCCGTCCGCGTGAGCCTGGGAACGCCCGTGCGCTTCCGTGAGCCAGAGCGCAGGAGATCGTCCGTGAACGTCCGTGAGCCCTGATAATGTCTGTTATGCGGGGAACTGTGAACGTCCGTGGACGTCCGACAGCCCTTAGAACGTCCGTTATGCGAGGAGTCGCCCCCCCTCCCTCCTCCCCGTGGCGGTACAGTCGGGGTGCTGAAGAAGGAGCCTTTTCGCTGGGGAGGGGCTCCGTGTTCCTTGGTTGTTTTGCACTGTGCTCCAGGTTTTCCACTGGCTGTCGATGGGACACCGGATTTTTTCACTGATGGAAACAAGGGCCTCGTTCCTTGTTGTATCGTTCCTGAGGTCAGCGCCCCAACTGTATCGAGCGTACGCTTATGTCGGGCGTGTCCCCCTACAGGGGGATTTTCGACGAAAATAAAAAACAGCCCAAACATATTCCAAAAAGGTCAAAAAATACTCAAAAAATAGTCCCCGGACTATTTTTAGACTATTTTTTGATTATTTTTGGGGAATTTATTGACGTTTCGTCGAAAATCCCCCTGTAGGGGGACAGGCCCGATTTCAGCGCACGCGCGGGGGGCTGGGGCGGCGGCTCCTCCACGGCAGGCGCGGCGCGGGGCTGCTCGCGGCCGTGCGGTGCCGACGGGCAGGCTCTTCTGGCGCTCCCGGGCGGGCGGAGGGCGCTCGGGCGCCCGACCCCCCCTCTCCAAAGTGCGGGCGCTGCAGCTCGGCCACGCGCAGAGTTCAGTCGAGCCCGTCCCCCTACAGGGGGGGCTTTCGACGAAAAGTTGAGCAGACCCCAAGAATGGTCCAAAAAATAGTCCAAAAATAGTCTGGGGACTGCTTTTTGAGTATTCTTTGGCCTTTTTGGAGTATTTTTGTTTTTTTTTTTTCTCGTCGAAAATCCCCTGTAGGGGGACACGCCCGACATAAGCGCAGAGGGGGGGGTCCGGGGGAGGCAGGCGATCGCAAACATTGATTAAGGGGGCGTGGATTAGCGACGGGTCCAGTTTCCATGGGGAATCGTGGATTTCCGCCGCCGAGGGGGCGGCACCGGCCGCATTTTGGGGAGGGCAGCTCCCCCGATCCATGGATTTGGCGACCGCGCGTCAAATCCATGGATCGGTAGTGCATGTCTGCGTGCCCCCGAGGGAGGCGCTCCTGCTTCTGAGGAAGGCGCTGGCCTTCTCCATGGGCGTAAGGCCGGGGCCTTCTCAGGGGCAGGGCGCTTCGAAGAAGCCTTTCCCCCTCCCCCGACCCCCCCTCTGCGCGGCGCCAAGCAATGGAGAATAAACATCGGCCTGCAGCGACTGCCTGTGATCCCCTGGCGGTGTGGTGACAACACCGTGCGGCGAGTCAGCGGGAATTCGGGGTGACCGCGCGATTTCAGAGCTGGGATCGCTCTCTGGGCGACTGGGGCCTCCAGGGTCTCAAAACTGTGTGGTGACGGGCCGTGCGATGAGGTCCCTCGGGGTTCCAACGTCACCGCGCGTTCGGTCAACAGAAGGTTTGAGACCCCCAAGATCGGGGAGCCCTGGTCCACAAGCGCTGCTCCCGCAGGGGGAACAAGGAGCCCATGTGGATCAGACGTGGTGCGATCCCATTTCCTGCCTCCCCCTCATCGGAACGAGGATCCTTCGAAGGGCACCCCTGCCTCCCCATGCCTTTCGGCCCATCTTGGCCCTCCGCCCTGGGCTGCAGACCTCGGCTTCGAGCTGGTCTTTCAAGGGCCTCCTCCTCCTCCTCATCCTGTTCCTCCCCCTCTTGCCTCCTCCTCCTCCTCCTCCCCGTCCTCCTCCCTCCTCCTCCTCCTCCTCCTCCTCCTCCTCCTCCCTCCTCCTTTTCCTTTTCCTCCTCCTCCTCCTCCTCGCGTTCTCTCGCCGCGCGTCCTCATGCCCCAGTCGCACTCCTATCCCCTCGGCGCCCCCGCCGCTGCTGCTGCCCGTGCGCCCCCACTGCCGATGGGGCTTCCGGGCCACCCCGGGGGGCGCCCGCGGGGCGGCTCTCTTCTCGTGCCCTTCCCTGAAAGGGCCTTCTGGGCGAGGAGGAGGAGGGGGAGGAGGGCGAGGAGGAGGGGGAGGAGGGGGAGGAGGGGGAGGAGGAGGAGGAGGCGGGGGAGGGGGAGGGGGAGGGGGAGGAGGACAAGCTAGGTGCGTTCGCGTCATATCTGAAGTCCTACCCCTCCCTCCCATCCCTTACCATGGCGCTGATTTTCTCTATCCGCGGACGCGTGTCGTAGCGGACCTGTGGCTCCGCGCGCGCGTGCGTAGTGGGTGGTGGTGCGCGTGCGTGCGTGCGTGCGTGTGTGCGTGGTTGTGGTGGTGGTGGTGGTTGTGTGGTGGTGGTGGTGGTGGTGCTGGTGGTGGTTGTGGGTGGTGTGGTGGTGTGGTGGTGGTGGTGGTGGTGGTGGTGCGGCGCGGTGGTGGCGGGCGGATGGGCGCGCGAGAAAGAGGCCCGCGCTGGGGCGAGAACGCCATCCTGAACGACGGAGGACAAACACCGATCCGAAAATGAGGCCCACGCTGCAGCAGGAGCACGATTCGGAACGATTCGGGAGGGGGCAGAAATGAGGCTGGCGCCTCAGCGAGAGCAGCATTTTGAAAAAACGCAGGCGAAAACCCAACTCCCGGGAATCCTGTGTGTAAAAAACAGTGCGCGGGGGGGGTCGGCCACTCCCAGCACGCCATCAGGGGAAGAGGGAGAGTAGTATTCATATTGAGTAATTGTGGAGGAGGAGGAGGAGGAGGAGGAGGAGGAGGAGGAGGAGGAGGAGGAGGAGGAGGATGACCCTCTCGGGGTGACGGCCCGCCGGGACAGCGGTAACCATCGCTGCCGTTCTTTGTTGTCCTGCTTGGGCCTCCTGGAGGCGGCTCGTCGCCATACGGCTGGATCCGCCCTCGACAAGCGGGTCAGGATGGATGCTCGGGAGGTTACCGGGGACAGATTTTGAGCCGACTGTGGCCGTGCGGGAGAGCCAACGTTGTCGGGTCCTTGGGGAACCTCCTGGGGTCTCGTGCCTGCTGGGACTCCTGTTGGTGGCTCCCCCAGAGCTGATCTCGAAACGAACATGCTGGGGAAGCAGACTCCCTGCGAACAGCGCAGTGTTTGTCAGTGATTTGGGCTGTTTGGGGCCTCTTAGGGTCTTAGGGCCTCTCATGGGGCCTCCCTTGGGGTTTCCCTTGCGCCCTCTCTTGGGGCCGTCTTGCGGTCTCTCGGGCTGTCTTTGGGGCCTCTGCGGCCGTTTTGGACGTCTCTAGGTACTAGTGCGGTAGGATCGCGTCGTGTCGACCGCCGGCGACCCCAGCGCAGCCGTTTCAGGTTGATGAGGGGCAGCGATGGGGGGGTGGACTGGAACAGGGGGGATGCATCGACTCGTAATCGCCGATGCATCGCCGATAGATCGGCGATAGGCCTCCGATGGTGAATCCGCACCCTCCTGGGCAGGTTGGGGCTATCGGACCCCTGTCGGCGATCCATGGGCGATTGGGGGTCGATGCATCCCCACCCATGCTTATCCCCCCCTATCGTTGCCCCTGAGTTGCGCGCCGCCCGTGGCCCAGAATCGGTCGACCGTTGAACCATCTGACTTTTCGGAAACGGCCGATCCCCGCGGTGTCGGGAGCCCACGCCGAAGTCGGCACGACACGAACCTGCCGCACTCCGCTGGACCTCCCAGGAGGCAGGAAGCAGGGGGCAAGAGGAGGAGGAGGAGGAGGAGGAGGAGGAGGAGGAGGAGGAGGAGGAGGAGGAGGAGGAGGAGGAGAAGGAGGAGGAGGCAAAAGGGGGAGGAGGAGGAGGAGGAGAAGGGTGCTCGCGATGTCGTCGCTCCGTTCTGGGCAGGCAGGAGCCGCCCGGATGCGGCTGGCGGCGCAGAGACAGCGTGCGGCGTGGCGCCGACGGCTCGCTTGCAGTCGACCCGCACGGGATTACGTCGGGCATGGTCCTCCACAAGGGGAGTATTCAGAACAAAGATAGTATGGGTGATGATTTCGGCGATGATTTTTTAATCACCATGTTGTGATATCTTATTCGGGTACTTGTTTCGTCCAACATCTGCCTGTATATAAGGGGAACGTGCCCGACCGAAGCACAGCGAGGATGGGCAACCTTTCCAGGGTTACCCGTGCATCCTCCCCCTTCGGCCCATCCTTGGCCGCTTTCGCTGGCCGCGCCCCGCCAGCACAGTGCCTTCGAGGCCCTGGCATCCTTACCACCGCGCATCCTTATTATACGGGTTGACTGTCTTACCACATGCTGTTCCCCACTTTGGGGATAGCGTGCACCGAGGAAGCCCTGGGAGGGGGATCGCGTGCATCGGCGAGGCCCTCGCAGGGGGGATGGCGTGCGCAGAGGGGGCCCTCGCGGGGGGATCGCCGCACAGGGACAACTAGCGTGTTTTGCAGAGATTGATGTTGCACGCTACCTCTGCGACGTCAACCGTATGTGGAAGGGAGTTAGGGCGAGGAGGGAGGGGGTGGACGGGGAAGCGAGGAGTGGAGGAAAGCGAACTCGGATCGAGGCGCGTGGACTAGCAACGGGTCTTGTTTCCGTACAGTGTCAGCGCGATCCGTCGCCAGCTCAGGCAGCATTTCTTTCATATTTTTGGGATTCTGTTTTCCCCGTCTGTGGGTCTGGCTCCCACGTGGCAAATCTACGGATCCGTAATCCATGTTAGCGTGCGCCCGAAGGGAGGAAGAGGGAGGACTAGAAAACGAGGGAGACGATTACGCGATGAGGACGAGGATCAGAGGAGGGGAATGACGTGATGATGAGCAGGAATCGAGGGGGATGGTTTTTCGGCGAACTCCCGGGAGGTAATCGCCCTGATGCACACGTTCGCGGAGGGTAAGGACGCGGCCTTTTGCCAAAAGCAGTGCTGCGAAATGCTGCGAAACGCCGGCGTGGTGAAGATGGTGGTGTTGGCGATGCGAATGGTTTAATGGTGACGATGGTGACGACGACCTTGATGGTGGTGGTGGTGTTGATGATGATGCTGCTGATGATGACGGCGACGGCGATTATGATGATCATGATGATGATGCTGCTGATGATAATGCAATCATGATGAGGATGATGATGCTGATGATGATGCTGATGTCGATGATGATGCTGATGCTGATGATGGTGATGCTTGTGATGGTGGTGGTGATGATGCTGCTGCTGCCGATTATGATGCTGATGCCGATGATGATGCCGATGACGATGACGATGATGATGCTGATGACGATGCTGATGATGATGCTGATGCTGATGGTGATGCTGATGATGATGCTGCCGATGATGACGACTCTGATCTTGATGCGGATGATGATACATGTTGTGGTTGTGGTGGCGGCGGTTGTAAGAGAGAGGATCCTCTATTAATGTGGATTTTGAAGCTGCCTGGCGTGATCATACTAATGACGAGGTTGATGCCGATGATGTTGATGATAACAACGGCGACGATCAGAAGGAGGCGAAAGAGGAGGCAGAGGAGGAGTAGGGAGAGGGAAGTAGGAGCAATACATTGGGATTCGCGAGAGCGCGCGCACAACCCCCCACCCCTCGTAAGGATTGTGTTTTTGTGTGGTTGTGTGGTTGTGTGTGTGTGAGATTGAGTGTGTGTGTGTGTGTGCGTGTGTGCGTGTGTGCGTGTTCGTTCGTTTGTTTGTTTGTTTGTTTGTTTGTGTGTGTGTGTGTGTGGCCGCCCCGCGGTTGTGCGTTTATCCTCATCTTGGCCAGCTCCAGGGAGATGCTCTATGGATGGCTCGTGCTCTAGGCATGCGGTTCGGGAGCTCAGCCGTGCAGTCGTGGGGAGATGCAGCCGTGTGGGGCCCGAGGCCCGACGCCCCTCGGGCGGGCGAGGGGCGGAGCAGGGGCCACGGCGGCCTGGGCCGCTGCGGCACCGACCCACGGCTCTTCGGATTGTTCCAGCGCCCCTTCTGGTTGCAACGGTTTCGGACGCCGACGCCCCCATGAACGCAGAAGAGATGACGCAGGAGCAGCACGAGGACACGGGCTTGGAGTTCTGCATGGGGGGCCTACTGGGTACGACCACGACGGCTGGGCTGATGCCGACGCTGTGCGGCCCTGGATGACTGGAAAGTCATGAAGATAAAGTGGGCCGAGCCCGTCGAGACGTTCTCCGCGCAAGAAGACGTATTCGAGGGCCACGTTGCTGGCTGCCACTGCGAAGAACCCCCAGTCGCTAAGCGATGTGGAGGCCCGTGCGTCAGACGGCCCGTCGCTGACGGAACAGCGGCGCCGAGAAACAAACAGCAGGGAACGATGCCGCAAATGCTGTAGCTGCGCAAGGCCTCAGATCCCACGCTGCCCCCTCTGATGCAGAATTCTGTAGTGTTTCCAGGCGGGTTGATTTCTGAAGCTGCGTGCAGGCTTGCTGCGCGAGACCCCCCCCTTTGGCCCTCCCTGGACCTCTCGGGATGCGATGTAGTCCGTCCGGAGGCCGCCCCGAGACCAGCTCGGGAGAATGGACCGTCGCAGCGCGAATGGGTTTGGGGTAAGTCCAACTGGCGTGGCTTCGCTTGTCTCCGCATCAAGTGTCGGTCTGATTTGAAGTGCGGCAGCTGCCCGATGCCCTCCTCCCGCGGCTGCCCTGGGAGGTTGCCTGGTTCTGTGGAAGTAGTTAGCGCCAGGGAGCATGAGCTAATGTCTTTTGAGTGCCCATATGAGTCGTCACTGCTCAGCGGTGTTAGTTGCAATCAGTTGTCTTCTGAGTGCCCACACGACTCGTCACTGCTCATCGGTGTAAGTTGCAAAACAGTTCCTACCCTGGGAACGTTGGCCCTTTTGGGGCCAGCAGTGCGGGCGCACGACCCGCAGCAATGCCCACAGGTGGAGTATCGAGCTCTTAATGGGAAGCACCCGAGGCCCGAAATGGTTTCGATCGAAATCGCTTTTGAATTTCCCGAATCAATGCTTCCACTGAAGGGGTCCTAGCGGATATGGCGAAGGCCTTACGGCCAGTGCCGCCGAGCCTGGATACTTCGGCCCTCGAGGGCGACGAGATGCGTGATAAGACGTCGGAGGTAAATGAATACGTGGCGGAAGAGGAGGCGGAGGAGGAGGAAGAGGGGGAAGAGGAGGAGGAGGAGGAGGCGGAGGAGGAGGAGGAGGAAGAGGAGGAGGAGGATGAGGATGAGGAGGAGGAGGAGAGGAATAATCATAATAGTAATAATAATAAGAAGAAGAACAATGAGAAGAGGAGGAAGAGGAGGAAGAGGAGGAGGAGGAGGAGGAGGAGGAGGAGGCGGAGGAGGAGGAGGAGGCGGAGGAGGAGGAGGAGGAGGAGGAGGATGGGGGGGACGGGGAGGGGGGGAGGGAGGGAGAGGGTCGCCCGGGGGTATGCGTGTCTGCCCCCTCCCCCGGTGGGGAGGGTAGGGGGGGCTTCGCCAAGACTGCGATTTCCTTTTATTTTGTGTGCGATTTCTTTTCATTTCGGGCGACGACGATGACGATGACGATGACGACGAGGACGACGGTGATCCACGCAAAACGACGACACCAGTGCGTTTTCCACACGCCGACAGGGTCGGCGGATTGAAAGATTTGGCGAAAGTGATCCGCCGATTTTGGTGGCCGGCTGGGTTTCCGGATTCCCAGGTTCCGGGCACTACGGCGAACATGCGACAAGGCATGGTGCCTGCCAAAGTTGTCAAAGCATCCAATGATTGGGTTTTTTTGTCTCTGGTGTAATAAGTCGCTTGAATTTGCCCTCCCCTCACAACGAGGAGGAAGGGAACACAAGAGCGTGGCCTTGCAAGTTGTGAGGGACAGTCTGTGTGATGAGGAAGACGCCAGACCGCTCGTGCAGCTGCCCGCGTTCCTTCGGAGTTTCCGTTCGACACTGGTTGTGTTTTTGTCCTGGGTTTGCTGTTTCTTCGCGTCGGTGTGAGCCACTGCCAAAGGTCATTGGTCATTCTTGGTTCTCCCAAAGCATATGTGATTTTTATCAAATTCTCCTCCTCCTCCTCCTCCTCCTCCTCCTCCTCCTCCTCCTCCTCCTCCCTCTTTCGCCCTCCCCCTCCCTCCTCCTACCTCCTCCTTCCCTCCTCCCCCCTCCCCCTCCCCCTCCTCCACTTCCTCCTCCTTTTCCTCATCTTCCCTCCCGGCCTCGGCTGTGAGCGCGGTGGGGGGCGTTGCGGATCGCGCGCCCCCTTCGGGTCAATCCTTTTCCCCTCATCCGTTCTCCTCCCTTCCCTCCCTCCTCCTCCTCCTTCTGCTCCTCCTCCTCCTCCTCCTCCTCCTCCTCCTCCTCCTCCTATCCTCCCTCCTCCTCCCTCCCCCCGGCTTCCCCCTTCCTTCTGCCTGCTCTTCCTCCCCCGCCTCCTTTCTCTACAATTACATATTCTGAGCATTGTTCTCCTTTCTCCCACGAAGACGTTATGAGAGTGGCGCGGATGAGTCCGAGCTGAGTTTCTTTATGTGTTTTCCAGTCCGAGTTTTTTGTCCTTGCCAAGGTAGCGTTCCCGCTGCAGCGTGGCCCTCATTTTCGGTTCAGACCTTCGCTCCCGTCGTTCAGACTTGGTGCTCTCACTCCAGCTTGGGCCACTTTCCTGGGTCGGAGTCCTTTCTGACCGGTGTTGCCCCTCTCCTCTTCCCTCCTCCGCCTTCCCGTGGACCTCCTGCTCCTCCCGTTCCTCTACTCCAGTTCCTGCAGCTGCTGTTCGTCCTTGTCCTCCTCCTTCCTCATCGTACTGCTTGTGCTCCCGCTCATCCGCCACCTCCTTCTCCGAAGTAATCAACTATCCTCTTCCGATCGCGCATGACACGCTGGAGTCTTTTTGGGAGTCCCAGGTCTGCTACGACAGGCGCCCGGGGACAGAGAGAGCATCCGCGGAGTTGGAAGGGATGCGTGGGAGGGGTAGGATGTCAGATGTCGCGCGAGCGCAACTCGCTTGCCCCCATCCCTCTCCCCTCTCCCGATTGAGCAACAACAGCGCAGTGGTAAGGGATGGGAGGGAGGGGCAGGTCATCGGTTATGACGCGATCGTACCTCGTTTGCCCTTCTCCCTCTCTCCTCTAGTCCTCCCCTCCCTCCTCCCTCCCTCCCCTTCACCCCTCCCCCCCTCCTCCCTCCCTGCTACCTCTGGGGACGGGGTCGAACGCGGCGGGGCCGGGAAGGACGCCGCCATGCGGGACCTGCAGGACGCCGCCACCAGTTGCGTCGCCGTCGTCGTCGTTGCCACCGTCGTCGTCGTCGTCGTCGTCGTCGTCGTCGTCGTCGTCGTCGTCGTCGTCGTCGTCGTCGTCGTCGTCGTCGCTGTCGCCGCTTCTGGATCTCGGGGGCGTCCAAGAGGAGGATGAGGATTAGAGGAGTGTGGAGGAGAAGGAGGCGGACCCCGTTGCCGATCAGCCCAGTCATGTTTCTGGGGCGTCCAGGAAGGTGTTGGAGACTAAGCGTGTTTGTGGTGAATAGTTACAATCGTGGGGTTGATGAAATCTGCCATATATCGTGGCCCCTCCTATATTATTCAATCTGCTGCGGTCCCGACCTTGTCCGCGCACATGATGCCTCGCGCCATACTCCGCCAATCTCGCCGGTCGTCGTCGTCGTTGTTGTCGTCATCGTCGTCGTCGTCCGTCGTTGTCCGTCCGTCCATCCATCCGTCCGTCCATCCGTGCCTCTGTCCACCCGCCGTCGTCGTCGTCGTCGTCGTCGTCGTCGTCGTCGTCGTCGTCGACCGCCCGACGCTCGCGGAGCGATGCTTTTGGGGTCCTCTGTGGCCTCCCAGAGCGCCCTCGTCGCCGCAGTGGCATTCTCCCCTCGAGGTCCTGGTCAGAGCACGCCTCAGCTGAAGTGCGCGGGCCGCTTTCCAAGGATACTATCGCCGTCGCAGCCGTCGTTGTCGTCGTCGTCGTCCTCGACGTCGTCGTCGTAGTCGGATTCGGAGTCGGAGAGAATTTTGATGAGGATGGGGAGGAGGAGGAGGAGCAGAAGGAGGAGGAGGAGGAGGAGGAGCAGGAGGAGGAGCAGGAGGAGGACCGGTGAAAACTCAACTCTCATCAACGTTGTTGAGACACACACACTCCTTGGGGAAGTGGCCGTTGGGAGACACCCGTGTGAAAATCCTGGAGCGTGCAAAACACAGTTCTCAGGACTTCAACTTCACGAGTCAACCTGACTGTTGCGTCTTGGCGATCCTGAATTGTGCCGCAACACCATTCTTGGGACGTCAACA